TTATTCGCAAAAGAAATATTTAGGGGCCAACCCTTCAACTCCCTAATGGGGACGTTTAGCGAAAAATGAAAGGTTGCATATTGTTCAGAACATCATTTTGAACATCTTTTGTTCAATATTACTTATCAAAATATTTCTCACTTTTGAGATACAAAGCGTCAAAGATTTAGCCTTCTGGCCCCTTATGGCCCCTAATTATGTAATGTACGACTTTAAAATCATTATATACTGTTGTAGATTGTTGAGATAAACATTTTTACTTCAGTAATGTATTACAAATTATTGACTGTTAAAGAGTTATCGAAAAAAGACTTTTAGCCCCTCTTGGCCCCTAATTTGTGTGTCCAGCCCCTTTTTCTGGATTTCGTCTTAAAGCTCTTAGGATTTTGAGCACTTTTTGTTCAACAACTATTCAGAGATTCTTTTTCGTTTTCGAGTTATACGCAAAAGAAATATTTAGGGGCCAACCCTTCAACTCCCTAATGGGGACGTTTAGCGAAAAATGAAAGGTTGCATATTGTTCAGAACATCATTTTGAACATCTTTTGTTCAATATTACTTATCAAAATATTTCTCACTTTTGAGATACAAAGCGTCAAAGATTTAGCCTTCTGGCCCCTTGTGGCCCCTAATTATGTAATATACGACACAAAAATCATAATATACAGTTGTAGATTGTTGAGATAAACATTTTTACTTCAGTAATGTATTACAAATTATTGACTGTTAAAGAGTTATCGAAAAAAGACTTTTAGCCCCTCTTGGCCCCTTATTTGTGTGTCCAGCCCCTTTTTCTGGATTTCATCTTAAAGCTCTTAGGATTTTGAGCACTTTTTGTTCAACAACTATTCAGAGATTCTTTTTCATTTCGAGTTATACGCAAAAGAAATATTTAGGGGCCAACCCTTCAACTCCCTAATGGGGACGTTTAGCGAAAAATGAAAGGTTGCATATTGTTCAGAACATCATTTTGAACATCTTTTGTTCAATATTACTTATCAAAATATTTCTCACTCTTGAGATATAAAGCGTCAAAGATTTAGCCTTCTGGCCCCTTGTGGCCCCTAATTATGTACCATACGTCATAAAAATTATAATATATAGCTGTAGATTGTTGAGATAAACATTTTTGCTTCAGTATTATATTACAAAATATTAACTGATAAAGAGTTATTGATTAAAGACTTTTGGCCCCTTTCTGCCCCTAATGTGATGAGTCAGCGTTTTTTTCTTGATATCATTTGAAAGATCTCGTTGTTCTGCACAAATGATGTTCAGTATGTTCTTACAAAATATTTATACTTTAAAAGATATGATGCAAAATGTCTCCAAAAATCACTCGTGATTCGTGTCCTAAATTTTGACCCCTACCGAGCTTCCATACTAGATACTTCCGGAAACTATCCAAACTCCCAGTAACATGGGGACATGTCCTCTATCATCACTGAAAATTTCAGCGCTCTAGCTCAAGCCGTTTTCGAGAAAATGAACGGACAAGGAGGTCCTCTGAATTTTGATAAAAGGGCGATAACTCTAGACCGGAAGTGATTTTCACAAAATCCTTCAGCCGGTATAAACTTCAGATTATCCTACAACATCTCTGAAAATTTGAAGCAAATCCATCCAACCATCTCTGAGAAATCTTCTGCACAAAATTTGTGCAGAAAAAAAGAATAATAATAATAACTAGATACGATCTCGTTGCGAGCAACGAGTGGGTCTTCCGTCCGATTCTTGACAAGATGAGATAAGACTTTGATCGAGAATTTCATTCTAAAATAATGATAAAGATTGTGAAGAAGAACAATTTTGCCTTCATTCTCTGTAGAAAGACATTGAACATAAAGACTTTAAAATTCGACTTTTGGCCCCTCACGGCCCCTAATATTAGGGATCAACCCCTTTTTCTTCATATCATCTTAAAGCTCTCGGGATTTTGAACACTTTTCTCAACAACTATTCAGAGATTCTCTTTCGTTTTCGAGTTATTTGAAAAAGAAATATTAAGGGGCCAACCCTTCAACTCCTTAAAGGGGACGTATAGCGAAAAATTGAAGGTTGCATATTGTTTAGAAGATTATTTTAAACATCTTTTGTTCAATATTTCTTATCAAAATACTTCCCACTTTTGAGATATAAAACGTCAAAGATTTAGTATTCTGGCCCCTTATGGCCCCTTATTGTGCACCATATGACATTCAAATAATAATATATAGCTGTATATTGTTGAGATAAACATTTTTGCTTCAGTAATGTATAACAAAATATTGACTGTTAAAGAGTTATCGAAAAAAGACTTTTGGCCCCTCTCTGCCCTTAATCTGAGTGCCCAGCCCCTTTTTCTTGATCTCAACTTAAAGCTCTCAGGATTTTGAACACTTTTTGTTCAACAACTATTCAGAGATTCTCTTTCGTTTTCGAGTTATTTGCAAAAGAAATATTTAGGGGCCAACCCTTCAACTCCTTAAAGGGGACGTATAGCGAAAAATTAAAGGTTGCATATTGTTCAGATCATTATTTTGAACATCTTTTGCTCAATATTACTTAACAAAATATTTCCCTCTTTTGTGATATAAAGGGTCAAAGATTTAGCATTCTGGCCCCTTATGGCCCCTTATTAAGCACCATACGACATTCAAATCATAATATACAGCTGTGGATTGTTGAGATAAACATTTTTGCTTCAGTAATGTATAACAAAATATTGACTGTTAAAGGGTTATCGAAAAAAGACTTTTGGCCCCTCTCTGCCCTTAATTTGAGTGCCCAGCCCCTTTTTCTTGATCTCATCTTAAAGCTCTCAGGATTTTGAACACTTTTTGTTCAACAACTATTCAGAGATTCTCTTTAGTTTTCGAGTTATTTGCAAAAGAAATATTTAGGGGCCAACCCTTCAACTCCTTAAAGGGGACGTATAGCGAAAAATTAAAGGTTGCATATTGTTCAGATCATTATTTTGAACATCTTTTGCTCAATATTACTTAACAAAATATTTCCCTCTTTTGTGATATAAAGGGTCAAAGATTTAGCATTCTGGCCCCTTATGGCCCCTTATTAAGCACCATACGACATTCAAATCATAATATACAGCTGTAGATTGTTCAGATAAACATTTTTGCTTCAGTAATGTATAACAAAATATTGACTGTTAAAGAGTTACCGAAAAAAGACTTTTGGCCCCTCTCTGCCCTTAATTTGAGTGCCCAGCCCCTTTTTCTTGATCTCATCTTAAAGCTCTTAGGATTTTGAACACTTTTTGTTCAACAACTATTCAGAGATTCTCTTTCGTTTTCGAGTTATTTGCAAAAGAAATATTTAGGGGCCAAACCTTCAACTCCTTAAAGGGGACGTATAACGAAAAATTGAAGGTTGCATATTGTTCAGATCATTATTTTGAACATCTTTTGTTCAATAATACTTAATAAAATATTTCCCTCTTTTGTGATATAAAGCGTCAAAGATTTAGCATTCTGGCCCCTTATGGCCCCTTATTATGCACCATACGACATTCAAATCATAATATATAGTTGTAGATTGTTAAGATAAACATTTTTGCTTCAGCAATGTATAACAAAATATTGACTGCTAAAGAGTTATCGAAAAAAGACTTTCGGCCCCTCTCGGCCCTTAATGTGATGAGTCAGCACTTTCTTCTTGATATCATATTAAAGATCTTGTCATTCCGCACAAATTCTGTTCAATATGTTTTGACAAAATAATGATACTTTAAAAGATATAATGCAAAACGTCTCAAAAAATCACTCATGATTCGTGTCCTAAATTTTGACCCCTACCGAGCTTCCATACTAGGCACTTCCGGAAAATTTCCTGAGTATGTTGCAATATGGCAACATGTCCTCTATCATCCCTGAAAAAATCAGCTTTCTAGCTTGAGTCGTTATTGAGTTCCATCACAGACATGGAGGTCATCAATATTTCGATCAAAGGGCGATAACTTCCGACCGGAAGTGAATTTCAAAAAAATGAAAAAAACGTATAAGGTTTAGATAAAGATACATCTTCTCCGAAAATTTCAAGAAAATCGGTCGAGCCACCTCCGAGAAATCTTTTGCACAAAAATTGTAAAGAAAAAAAAAAGAATAATAATAATAAAAGTGAAAAAGAAACAATAGAATAATAGAAGGGTCTTCCGTTGGAGACGGAAGACCCTAATAAGAAAAGTGAAAAAGAAACATAAGAATAATAGAAGGGTCTTCCGCTGAAGACGGAAGACCCTAATAAGAAACAGAGTAAAAACAATATGTTCCCAAACTCCGTTTGGGGAACATAATAAGAAACAGAGTAAAAACAATATGTTCCCCAACTTCGTTTGGGGAACATAATAAGAAACAGAGTAAAAACAATATGTTCCCCAACTTCGTTTGGGGAACATAATAAACAATATCAAAGACTTATAATCAATTAACAATTGTTGCTTCCATTTATACAGTATGTCGAGTTGATATATCCCAGTGAGCATGAAATAAATTAAACAAAAGAGTATGACCCACCTATAACATATTTGAATACTAGTAATACTAGTAATCTCTTAGAGAAAGATAAACTTAAGATGACTTTTATTTTTCAATCATCAACTTTCCTTACTTATACTGCAATATACCCTTATCACGTTCAAAGAGTCTATATGTCTATCTGTTGATTTGATACGCAAAAGCATGCGCTCTACGTTTTAAAAAAATAGGTCAAAACAATAATCGATCTATCTTTAAGTCAAATGATGATTGGCCTTTTTCGAAACTTATTTGTATGACATCATTTACACTGTATAGTCTCAGAATTTTTATCCCTTTTACATGTATCCCGATCAGGAAAAGTTTGAAGGGTCAGTAGAAATGTTAACTCTTTTATGCAATTTTGTAGAAACGTGTACGAACCATTTGTAGTGCGAAGACATGAAGGAGTATACAAGTTTTTCTCGACTTTTGTGAGTTGGACTAAAAATGGTTAGAAGAAAATTGTCAAAATATCAATTTACTTACCAAGAGACATATTAGATGAATGATACGGCTTTAGGCAAGGTTTTGATAAATTCCTGCAACTAGCGCTTCTTTGCCTTTGTACTACAGCACCCTTCACATTAAATTCTGCACAGAATTCTGTATTAAGAAAACAAAATCTTTGATTTTATTTCACATAAGCTAAGCAGTCCTTACATTGTGGTCGTATTGATTACATTGTATTATCATAGTAAAATCTAAGCCCCACTACGACAATCGAATGAAAAAAAAAAACATAAAAATTTTGATTAAAAGTGAAATGAAAGTGAAAAAAGTGGAAAAATTAAATTAAAAAGATGCAGTTTACTTTCATTCATATCTGTTACATTTATGGTAGAAGCCTTTCCACGAGGTTACATCATAAGGGAGGAAATGTACATAGGTCGCTCATTATTACAATAATTAGTTTTTTAATTGTTTAATACAAGAAAAAAAATTCCCTGAATTATGTTTATTGTTAATCATTGCAGTTCAAACGTTATAATGCACGCGCGTCTGAAGCAATACCTAATGGGGGGGGGGGGGGGCAAGCATTTTTTTAGGAGGAAGGGGGGGGGGGGGGCAAGTCACATGCCACATTTCTGCAAAATTATTTTTGCCGCGTCCCCCGTGCCCCCTATAAGGTATGTTTTGAGCAAAGATAATATGTTTTGAAAAGTAGGACAAATTTCAAACTAAAAGTAAATGTGAACAAATATAGTATTTTTAATTAAAAAGACATGGTCACGGATAATATTTTTCCCTTTCTTAAGTTATGACCATTTGAAATTAATGTTAAAATGTATTTTTAAGTAGGATGAGGAGGTCAAAAATCACAGAATATGTGGAAAAGGTCTCCTGAACAGTAATTATGTAATTGTGAAAGAAAAGCCATATATCTTCTCTTTCAAAAGCTGTGCCAAAGACTGTCAGACGAATGATATTTAATGTCCACTTGCCTTTGCGAAGGCGGAGAACAAAATATCAAACTTTAAAATATACTATTTGTAGTGGTGTAAGACGATTTAATGTCTGTCATTTATTCAAGGAGTTTCAGTGAATGGAGAACTAAAAGGATACAATTAATACTATGCTGTCAGAGCTAGCTTACAAAAAATCATTTATAGGAAATCCAAAACAAGATAAAATCAAGGAAAGTTGCAAGTATTATATTGGTTTGTTGATAATTTATGAAATAGTTGTCATAGTTACAAATGAAATAACATTATAATAATCATAGGGTGCTGTCTCCGTTGAATTTCATGGCGTCCAACATTTCTTTGAAGATATGCACCATTCTTCGTCCAAACAACATTACTATTTTTTAAAACCAGGGGTGGATAAGATTTTGAAACAATTTATACATTTTCACTAACAATCAATACAGCCCCGTTATAACATCAGAACCCCTTTTATACGGCCGAGAAATTCACAATTTTCAAAGAGGAATTCTTCTTATCGTTACTATATATACATGTAGTTAGTTTATCTCATACTCGGGAACAGAGCAGAAGATTTTCAAAGCGTAAATGCATTTAACTATATAATCAATAGTGTCCCGCCCTAACATCTGGACACCTGACCCTGGGCCCAAGATTTTCATAATTTTAAGGAGACACTCATCCTTATCATAACTTTGAATGTAATTAGTTTGTTTGATGCCCAGAAATAAAGAAGATTTTCAAAAAAAGAATCAAAGCATTTTCACGATATACATCCAACACTACACCCCTGGCCCTGGGGCGTGAATTTCGCACATTTCATCAAGGCAACCGTCTTTATCATAAATATAGTTAGTTTGTTAAATACCCAGACACAGACAAGAAGATTTTCAAAGAATTAACGCATTTTGACTAAGATATAATCACAAGAGTCCCGCCCTAACACTAGAATGCCTGACCCTAGGACGGTGAAATTCACAATGTTTGAATTGGCACATTTTCTAATCATGACTTTGTATGTTGTTAGTGAATTTAATATCCAGGAACAGGGAAGAACATTTTCAAAGAATAAATGAAATATATGGAGATAAGGAACAGTATTAGAGCTCAAAAATCCATTAAAAAAATACAAAAAAGGAGCAGGGCTAGCCAACTGAGATATTATATAAACTCCGCATTTTGAGGTTAAATGCTATGATTTCAAAAGTTCCTTGGATTTTTAGGTTATTTTAAATAAAAGCATTTTCACAATATATCAATAGAGCCAAGCACTAACACCAGAACACCTGATCCTTTGGTCATTAATTTCGCAATTTTTGAGGCACTTTTCGCTCATTATACATGTAACTATATATAGTTTGTTTTATATCAATGATTTCACAATTTCCAATGACTTTCACTTCCTCTTCATAAAAAGACATGGATGTATTTAGTTTGTTTAAATAATACCCAGAAGTAGAGAAGATCTTCAAAGAATTAATAGATTTTCATTACATAATTATTAGAGCCCCACCCTAACACCTGAACCTCTAGATCTGAGCCTGGGGCCGCGAATTTCACAATTTTCGAAGGGGCACTCTTGCTCATCAGAATTATGTTTGTAGTTAGTTTGTTTTATAATAAGTAGCATAGAAATACTTCGAAGAAATAATGGATTTTTACTATACGAGGGTAGTTCGAAAAGTTCGTAAACGATGTCAACCTTCGTTATACTACTTTCAATAAATTTAAAATAAGCTCAATATCCTATTTAAAAACAAATGTTTTGTTGATGCGTGAAGTTTAATTTCATTAAATTGAATAGAAATCAATTTACTCCCTTTTAGAATAAACATGTCTTGTACCCGCGGGGCATACTCAATGGCGATGTAACGTCAAAACATAGCATCAAGAATTTCTTACAAATACTATCTTATACAATTCAACTGTTAAGTTCAATACTCACTCATTAAAAACCTTTTTATGACACTTGAAATTCATTTTTCTAACAATTACTCTCATTGAATAATTTTCTTTGTCAATGTTTTAATAAAATTATTTCTATTCCACTTAGCTGCGTTTTTACAGGATCAGCAACTCGGAAGCGCTATGTCATTCCATGACGTTCCAAGTTTTTAAAGTTTTTGATCAGATTTTTATTAAATAAACCGTTTCTTCACAGAATGTCCTCATCCGATACAGAGACTCTAGATCTGTTACTCAAATGCCGCCTGCAGCATTTATGAATACACGCACGACTAAATTGTGACATGATTTTGAATAAACATTTCAGAGTTTAATCAGGATTTTTCTCGAGTATAACACAAAATTGCATCCTTATCTGCTGCTTTGTTACGTTCAACACCGTCTTCATTATACCCCCCGCTTGAAAAGCGGGAGGGTATATAGTAATCGTTAATTCCGTCCGTCTGTACGTCTGTCCGTCTAGCTGTCCGTCCGTCTGTCCGTCTGTTACGCTTTGGGGTACCCATCTCTTATCCGCAACTCCTCTCATACCACTGAATGAAATTTGATGCAACTATCACAGAATCTTTATTACATATTGCCATTGTGCACCTCCTATTTTACTTTTTGATCCGACACATATTTTGGGTTTCCCGGCCACAGGAAAACATGGACTTTTTCACCAGTTGTAACCATATGAGAGGGGGGGGGGGGGGGGGTATCATTTAGTGAGCTCATCGCTCACAGTACGTCATCATTTTTGTAGCTTTCAATGAGGACTACCTATCTTCCCAAATCGATTTCTTTTCAACTAATCAAAATAATAAGCTAAGATTTGAAATATGAATCAATGTAATAGTCCTTAATTTCGGAGTTTAGGATTTTTTCCCGTTTTTGCTTCATTTTACAAAGAATATGACTACAGACATTGTCATATTTATTTCGTATGTTGTTTGTCAATTACTAAATTTGACTTGCTCCGCGAACCAATGTTTACAGTTTTAAATTCTGGATAGATTGAAAATGATGATAATTTACATATTTTTTTTACAAATCATTCGGATTTATTGTTAAAATATTTCTACCAAATTAAGTTAGCATATGCCGTTAAATAAAGAAAAGATATGACAGGAGTCCACGATCGTTGCGAACAACCCTCGTTTAATCTATAAAGGCCCGGGTAGCACTAGAGCTTCTAATCTTGGGGCCGCAAATTTCACAATTTTGGTATAGAACTCAATGCTTGTTACATTGATGTTAACAGTTTGCTTGCTTAATTTCCAGGGAAAAGAAAAAGACTTTTGAAGATTGAACTAATTGAAGTGTTTTCCCTACCCCTACGGCCCAAGCTGCAGGGGGACAGGGACTATGCAATTCACAAATTTGGTTTCCCTTTTTTCATAGACGTTTTTGAAATTTGGTTGATATTCCGCCGTTGTAGAGGAGATGTAAAAACAATCACTTTTTAACGCAGGACATACAACGAAAAGGGATAGCAATAGGTCACCTGAGATTACTCAGGTGAACTGAAAACTCACGATTCATAGTTTATATTTTTGGACAGTAATGGTATATTAATAAATTTAATGATGTAGTTTAAGCAGTGTTTATTTGGTGACGTTAGTCCACAAATGTTTTGTTTAAACATGCGAGTTCAAGCGTTAAAACTAAGATTTGTTTCAATTGCCAGCTTCTTTTGTATACATGGAAAAGGACAGTAGTTTAAAATCTTATGTAAAGTGAAAAAAAAAACTAAAAGAAATTCATAATGATAATAAAATGTATAAGTTTATTTCAATTACATGTAGTTTAAGCAATACTTTTGTAAACATGTCATTTAGGAAATAATGCTCAGGTAAATGCAGGCCCTATTTTGTTAACTGCATCAAATTGTATCATTAACACACTTTCAAGAATGAATAATGTCAGGCGTAGAGACGTAAAAAATACAAATTAGAAAAAAATTTCAAACAGATTATTTTTAACGTGAAAATTAATTGTTTCGTCATTTTCAGAAGCTATGATTAGATAAAAAGTACCTGAAATTAGTTTGTCAGGCGCACAGTCCTCTACAAAATGTGTAAGATTTGTGCTAAGGAGGCAGTGGTACACCAGCTTCTTTTCACAGTCATGTTTTTTACGGTGACATGCTTTTACGTCTATTCTCAATTGAAATTCAATTTCGTTCATCGGACATGCTGAAACGACACTAACTGTATCCAACGATGCCGGACAGTAACTTCTTGCAGAGACCTGAAGTATAAATATATATTTTTGGCAAACATTATTAAGGAAAGTGCATACATTCCACATGTTCATTCAATTACAAAATCACAGCAATCATTATACCCACTAGCCCATTTCTAAACAAACAATTAAAGCTGAGCACGACTCGTAAATAGGCATGAGTCATTTTTGATATCATAATATACGATACATCATCTTTCTCCAGATTCTTCACACCCGATTGCTTTATTGTCACGGGTATCGGCGTGGAATGGCGACCAGTATTCGTGCTGTTTATCTTGCATTATTTTTGTTTACATTTGATTGCAGTTACGCATATCTGTGTTTGTTTCTATACTGCACTGACATGTACAACTATAATGTACATGTAACTTTCTTTGGTATCTTACTTTCCTGCTTAGACAAGGTATTACGTTATTATTGTCGCTACCGATTGCTGTTCAGCATACGCCCGTGTCGACTGATTACACTGAATAGAGAATAGGTCCTGCCCTTTAAAAAGGGGTCTGCAGGTATTGCGACTCTTCGAACGAAAATGGCGGACGCATTACTTTTACTAATCGTCTTCACCTTTAAGACACCACTGTGGGGCTACAGTCCTAGTATCAGCCATTATGATTATTCTTATCTTTTTTGTGTACAATGTTTTTGGCCACTCTTTACCATTGAAAATTAGGATTTGAACTAAATAAAATGCATCTAAATATGAAATCGTAGCACTGCTGTTTCATACGTTCTTGAGAAGTAAATTTCAATAGCTTGTCTTATGTATTTGCCTGTGTTAGGCTTTGATTATTCATTTTTACGTCGTCTTTTTCTACTACTTTTTGTTTTATTTTTCTTATATAAATATACCACAAGGAGACATAGGAAATGTACGCACAGATTGATTGATTGATTATATGTTGTTTAACTTCCCTTTAGAAAATTTTTCAATCAGGTGCAGATGCCACCAATTGCCGATGGAGAACTACAGATTTTGACCTATATTCGGCACTAAGGGACATTGAGAAGTAATGAATCTTTTTCGTTACAGTACCTACTGCGACACTGAACCTAGGTTTATATGGTCTCATCCGAAGGACCGGAGCCACGTCTGACAGTGGGATTCAAGCCAGAGACGTAAGGTTTGACTTATTTAATTACTTCGCGACTCTAGAGCATACTCTCTAACCACAGCGCTATGGAACGCCGTCACTGCCTTATAGCAGAACACTGCGATTGCATTGCGTCAACCTTCCATTACATTATGTTAACTCTTTATGACATTTACTCACACTGGTATTGCATTGTGTCAACTTTCCATTATATTATATCAACTCTTTATGACATTAACCCACACTACTATTGCATTGTGTCAACCTTCCATTACATTATGTCAACTCTTTATGACATTAACCCACACTACTATTGCATTGTCTAAACCTTCCATTACATTATGTCATCTCTTTGTGACGTTTATTAGCACTACTATTGCATTATCTCAACTTTCCTTTACATTAGGTCAACTCTTTATGACATTTACACACACTACTATTACATTGCGACAACTTTCTTTTTCATTATGTTAACTCCTCTATGACATTTACTAACACTTCAATTATATTGCGTCAAACTTTCACTGCATTATATCAGCTCTTTGTGACATTATGTCAAAAGATTTTTACGTGGTGTTAAGATACATTTATATAATTTCAACTCAGTATTACATTGCGTGCACTCTCTACTATTTGGTCTGAGTAGTTCATTACCTGATGTGAATTTATCTTAATTTGATATCAAGTCGCTATAATACGATGTCAGAATTTCATTACATGATGTCAAAAAATTGTCACATGTGGTCAATTCTTTTACTACATTATGTCATCAATATGCTACATGAGGACGTGAATCAATTCCATGATGTGAATTTGCCCTTACTGTTTAACAAATCGTTATTACGTTATGTCATTGTGTCTTTACATTGTGTCAAAAATGCTCAGCCTCTTGTCAGCATACGTGTATCTTAGGCTAATTCATATTGATCTGCTGTGGAAAGCTCATGTTATACTGTGCGCACTCTTCTACATTATGTCGATTCACTATTACGTTATGCGAACACGGGTATCCTCGGCCTTTATATGCGCATAACGTATTTTCCGCGTTCCGCAGGCACTAAAAATGGCGGGAAAGAAAACAGTCGTTGAAGAAATTCTCGGCGATTTGGAAATGGCATATTTAATTAAATGAAAACGTAAAGCGACAAATGATTGACAATCTTGAAAAGTGCAGCGCAAGGCCTTCACACTGCGACTGTGAATTAATTTCAATGGCGTTTACTTTAATCTGATAATTAAATAAATCAAATATTAAGAGTCGAGCAGCATTTTTTTTTTGTTTTCTTATTGAATTGTTTTTTTTTTTTTGTTGTTTTTTTTTTTTTTTTGTTTGTTTGTTTTTTATCAAATAGAAGTCTTAAACTTCTTATCTTATTAAGAACATTGTCATATGCTTTTTATCAGTCTCTGCCTCTCCTTTCTATTTTTAAAAGTGTTAACACACAGTATAACAAACTTGCAACGGTGGGTTTGGGGTTGGGGGCAGGAATCCCGTCCTTCCATCTTGAGTGACCAAACTATACATAAGATTAATAAATTTATTGGTTTACTTTGTAGGACATTGCTTAAGATTAGCTGAATTAAGTTGAAAACTTTTTTTTTATAAAGCCTAGGAGCTCCCCCTCCCCTTGGTCTCCAACCATATACCGTCCCCCTTCCTTGTTCAAGATTCCCATATCCGCCACTGATATGTGCCCATGCATGCTTGCTAAGGCATATTCAACTGATTTAGACTGATATATAGATTTTTGTAATAGAATTCTGGCACTGGAATTGTTGAAAAAATTACTAATTCCAGTGACGTAGCATCTTCTTTGAAAGGGGATCCGAGGTCAGCCAGAAAAAAAAATTCTACTCGAAACAAAAAAGGTTTTTTTTCCAAGTAAACTACATTAACCGTAGTGGACTATACTTCAAGAAAAAGTGGGGATGGGGCTATGCTTTCCATGAACATTACATTTTCTATAGTAAAGTTATGTATGGGAAAAAGGGGGGGCTGATATTATGTGCCTGAAATTCGTCCTAATCAATGAAGAGCCCCTCCCTTCTCTTACCAGTCATTAAAGCACGGTCGTCAACATTCATTATATACCAGATATACAGCTTTGAGATAATGAAAATGTATTTTTACATCAGGTAATGAACTTTTGTAATCAACATGATGAAGAGTTAACACAATATAAAGATGTTTTTAAATCACATTAGAAAAGGTTGACATAACGTAATTATATATCCACATCACGGAATGGAGTTTTGACACAATGTAATAAAGTGTTGATATAATATAGAGATATGTTCACATAATGTTATAAACTTTATACTCGTACACCGCGTAATAAAGCACTGACATGAAGGTATGATGTGTTCACCTCACATAATGATGCTCCTCGGCGTATAATAAAGATAAATCCATATCACGTAATAATGATTTGATATAATAGAAATATACAATATCAAAAAGGAATGGATTTTTGACTTCATGTAATGATGTTTAATCATAAAACACAATTTGCTTGACGTAATGCAATTTTGACCTCACATATTAAAGAAATGAAATAATATAAAGAAATATTCATTTCAAGTAATAAAGTTTTAACACAATGTAAACATATTTTCACTTAACAAAATGGATTTTTTACTTCAAGTTATAAAGTGCCGACATAATAAAAGAATGTGTTTACTTCATGTAATGCAGCATTGACATGATGTTATGATATTTTCACATCATATCATAAAAAATTGACATAACCTAAAGATATGTTCACATCACGTAATGATAAATTGACATAATAAATGCATAGTTTTATGCTATAAGGCAGTGATGGCGTTCCATAGTTTATCATCGAACTTAATTTTATGGACACATTTAGTATTTTTATTTGCAAGGCTAATTAAGGAAACAAATGTAAAATATTAAAAAGCGATAACATGTTTTAAATTTTCATCACATAATCTAAAGATCAAAATATGAAGTTATTTTACTTTATTTTAAAGGGTAAACAAATACGATTAATGTGATCTCAATAAAATCGATGATTTGATTTTTATAATTGAACGATTAAAGTAGTAGGAAGAAAAATAAAGTCTTATATCACTTTGAAAATGTTTAAATCATTTTAAGAAATACAAGAAAAATGTATATGTAAAACAGCAATATAATTTTATATTAAGTTTGAACTTGTATTATATTTATAATATAATATTTGTATAATGGTGAATTAAAAAATTCCTTGTTTAGCATAATGAATTATTTTTTTCAGTTTAAACTGAATTAATTTATAAAAAACTAGATATGCCTTTACCATACAACTTGATTAAATTATTGTTTTTATTTTTTTTTCAATTGATAATATTATTTCTTTGGTGAATTAAAGCCAAGAACTGAAACAATGTTAACATCTTTAATTGTAATTTTACTTGTTGCAAACGTAAATATGCTGATTTTGCTCGATTTTTTTATGGATTATAATATTATAACTTTTTAAAGACTATATAACATACAAGCGCACATTCTGTAATTAGACAGTTATGACCACTCATTACATAATATTATCGTCCTTCCCATCTATACCTTGTATCAATTTATTTCTCAAAAAAATTGACACAGGAAAGGACTAATGAAATAATTGTCTAGTTTCACGTTGTCAGTAAAACCACAAAAATGCACTGAAAATCTTGCGGAAAACTAAGGGGGGGGGGAATTTCTTATTGAATCATGGCGCTTACAAGTGTCGGTACACTAGGGATTTATCGGTTTTTAACAAATAAAGTCCTGCCACAAAACAAATCGTATAGGTAGTGAGCATCTGTGAACATCAGGTAAAGCGTAAAGCTGTTTTGCAATAAAATATGACTAATTATGATTCAGAAGTCGAGAGTTCCAGGAAAGATAAAAGATTTAACG